CCTTTAATTCACTGTCTGACTCTTTCCACTAGTAAGTGCAGAAATTTTGCACTCACTATTTGCATCTCATTGTATACCGTACAAGGTTGCTACTTGATTGCTTGTTCATGGTGCTGATTGAGTTTTGACAACCTTGCTTTCTATGCAGCATCTGTGGATTCCACTGCTCAAACTGGTCATCTAGGCGCAGGTGATTTGCAAGAGGAGTTATATCAAATGGTAAAGCATGCTACAATCCCATTGGCATTACTTTTAGCTTACTTTCACCTTTATAGATATGATTTCCACTTTCTGTTTCCCCGAAATTCCTTTTACTGCTTTCTATTGGTCTGTTCTTTTGCCAAACAACCCTCCTTGTTTTCACTCTTTTTTAAGATAAAGTTGGAATTGAAATCCATATAACAAAGATATTTAGCATTGCATGTAGATGTGCTATCTTCTACCTTAGTATTTTAGGGAATCTGTGTGACTGTTTCCATAACTCCATATGTACTATGGAGCAGTTGGTGTCTAGATGTATGAAGGCTACTTCTTTCTTTAGGCAGTCGGTTTCTTTAAGTTAATTGGGTTGATCTAGAGAACACATGATTCCTTCAGTGGACTTCATAGTTTCCCTTTTTGTGCCAGATTCTATGCTTGTAATGGCAACCAATCGATCTTGTGTCATACTTGTGACTTAATGGAAAGCCTTGTTCTATTCATTTTTTTACCTTAAGTATATCAGCGTGTAACCTCGGCAACCAATTTATCGGTTTTTCATTCATTTGTGCACAGATTAAGAGTTTAAAGGACCAATACTTTGCGGAATTGAATGATTTGTACAATAAGATATCCATGAAGATACAACATATTGACAACTACATGCCTGCTCAAATGTCAGCAGAGCAGTATGAAAAGATGAAGGGCTTTAAATTAACGTTGGAGCGCACATTGCATTTCCTGCAAGTTAACAAGAGCAGCATTCAGCCAGCTTTTAGGGAAAAAATCCCTGTTTACGAGAGGCAAATTCTCAGTATCCTAAGTTCACAAAGAAGGAAGCCTGTGCAGGCACCTGGACAGCAAACATTTCAGCAATCTGGTGGGCAAGCTCCTAGCTCTAACATTTCACAGCAACATCAGACTTCCCAAGGTTTGCAGCAGCATGATAGTCATACTAATCAGATGCCTCAAGCAAGTTTACCAAGTATGAACACAGGAGTACAGAGCTCTGGAGCACCTGGCATTCAGCACGTACCTGCACCTCAAGCAACAAACTTTGGTGTTCCAACAACACAGCAAAATGTCACAAATGCACCGCAGGCTGGCTCTAATCTGGAGAATGCTCAGGGAAATAATTTTAATCCTGTGCAGCATGGTTCTATGGGTACTGCGTTGCAACAGGGAAGCACTGGTCCCATGCAGGGTGCATTGAATGCACAGCAGCAGTCCAGTAGTAACATGATATCCAACAATGCAATGAGTACAATGCAGACTAATACCAATGCCATGCAAGCAAATGCGAATTCATTGCAGCAGCTAAAGCAGCAACATCAGGATCATCAGATGATACAAAGTCAGCAAATGAAGCAGTGTCAGCAGATGATGCAACAGATACAGCAAAAGCAAATGCTTCAACAGCAGCTCCCAATACAGCAACTACAGAAACAACAGCAGCAAGGGCAGATGCCGGTTCCACAGCTTCATTCTGGAAATGATGTGAATGAGCTAAAGGTTAGGCAAGGAGCTGCAATCAAATCTGGAATGTATCAACAGCTGAGCCAGCGTAACTATTATCATCAGCAGATAAAACAGGGTGGTGTCTTTCCAATTTCTTCTCCGCAAAACCTCCAAGCATCGTCCCCACAAATTTCACACCATTCTCCTCAGGTTGATCAGCACAGTCTGTTGCAATCTCAAGTGAAGACCGGGACACCATTGCATTCAGCTAACTCACCATTTGTCCCATCTCCATCCCCTCCTGTTGCCCCATCACCGATGCCAGTGGATTCAGATAAACCACTCTCCAACTTATCTTCGCTCACTAGTGCTGGGCAGGCTGGACATCAGCAAACATCCCTTGCACCTCAGACACAATCTATAGCCGTTAACACACCAGGTATATCAGTGTCACCCTTGCTTGCAGAATTCACAAGTGCTGATGGAAGTCAGGTTAACCTACCAACTCAAGTTCCAACCAAATCAGCAGCAGAAAGGCCTCTCGATCGCTTGCTTAAAGCAGTCAGTAACTTGCCACCTTCATGTTTACTTTCTTTTGGCAATTAGTTGCTTGATCAATTCTGTTTGGAACATTCTGTTGAACGTGATTAATATGGTTATAAATCTCCATAACATACTAGCATAAAAGAAAATGTGGACTAAAAGTTCAGCTATTATAGGAGTAGGTATATGGCACCTTCCCCTGGCAAGTCCTGTAGAGATACCATATTAAAGTTGGTACAATGTATTTTTTTGATCAGCTAGTTCTTGATATGATGGTCAATACAGTAGTCAGATTTCATTCTATTTCTGGCTCTTGTCTTTTTGCCTATCCGAAATTGTGTAAGCAGCATAAGACGTTATCTCACTTCGTAATCCAGACGTTTCTCTGATAGCCTGTTGACCTTTTATGGTAATAATACAAAGAAGTCATTGGCATCCTTTAGTAAATTAGTTTTATTTGATGGTATTCGGGTCTATATTATTATTCCACTATTTTGGTATTCTGTTTCATGTTCAAATTTTGTGTTACAATACAGTTGCGAACAACACAGCGCGAGTCCCTTAGTGCTGCAGTTAGCGATATTGGATCTGTCGTGAGTATGATTGACAGGATTGCTGGATCAGCGCCTGGTAATGGTTCTAGAGCTGCTGTGGGTGAAGATCTTGTTGCTATGACAAAGTGCCGCTTGCAAGCCAGGAACTTCATAACTCATGACGGGAGTGGTGCATCAAAGAAAATGAAGCGGGACACTAGTGCTATGCCTCTTAATGTGTCATCGGCTGGAAGCGTGAATGATAGCTTGAAGCAATCATATAGTGTTGGCACTCCAGAGCTACAATCAACTGCAACCTCACGTGTCAAGTGGCAAAGGGCTGAGGTGTGGTTCTTTAAAATTTTTGTTGATAAGCTATGTAGAGCATTAGTTTTACAAATAGTCGTCCGTGGCTTGCATATTTGGATTTAAAAGGGCAAACATTGTTTATCTCTTATCCAAACTGTTGGCTACCTTGTAGGTAAACCATGCTCTGATGGAGGAGATTCAGGAGATAAACCAGCAGCTTATAGATACAGAGCTCCATGTCTCTGAGGATGATGCCGAGTCCTTCACTACATCTGAGGGGGGCGAAGGGACAGTCATTAGATGCACATTCACTGCTGTTGCTGTTAGCCCCAGCTTGAAATCCATGTTTGCTTCAGCACAGATGGTGAGGCAGCCTCAAAACACCTTTGCTATGTTTCTTTTCTTTCTACTTTTGATTGAAGGGTCCATGCTTCTCATTTTGTTGCATATGTTGGAATGTGTGGCAGAGTCCGATTTTGCCGTTGAGGTTGCTTGTTCCTGCTAGCTACCCAAAATGCTCCCCGGTGCTCCTGGACAAGTTTCCTGATGAACAATGGTGCGTGTAGTGGCATATTAATGTATATATGTTAGGTGCTTCGGCAAACAAACCTCACGGTGATGATCTGTGGTTGCAGCAGTAACTCAGACGACCTGTCTACGAAGGCTAAGTCAAAGTTCAGTGTATTGCTCCGGGGTCTACCTGAGCCCATGTCACTTCGAGAAATCGCAAGAACATGGGATGCTTGCGCCCGCAAAGTGATCGCATAGTATGCCCAGCAAACTGGAGGAGGCAGTTTCAGCTCGAGCTTATGGTTGCTGGGAAAGCTGCGTAGGTGCTTCATAAGTATATTGTATCTATTATCATTATTTATTACACTATATAAGTATTTATGTGTTGAGTAAAAGAAAAAAAACAGTGTCTGTTATATACCTCCTTTCTTTTGGTATTGAGTCACTGTTAGCTTGATAAATATGATCGTGTACAGTACAGCGTATTGAGCAAAGTTTGGGTGCTTCAGTTCGGTTACTATTTAGTACTCTAGCCGTTCTAAATTATAAGTCAGATATTTTTTTGGTACATTAATTTTAATAGTAGATATAACGAATGCCTAGTAAAATCTATATATAAAAAAAATCAAATTGACTTATAATTTAGAACGAATAGAGTATCAGGTATGCTTACCTCTTTATTTACAGAACTAACGCGGTTACCTAGCTTTTTGTTGATAATTTTATACTTATAATTTTAATAAATGGTTTTGTTTGTTTCTTTGATTATAATGCATGAATTTTTATATAGTTATCATCGACCAATTCATTAACCATCAATGGCCGCCTGTTCTTTTTCCCAACACAATCCGGCCCAGCAATTTTCTACTGAGGACAAATCAATAAGCATTTCAGTTCTCTCTTAGTGGGCTCTGTTTGGTCGATAAAAGTAGTATCCAAGTTACTTTTAGCCACTCATCTGTTCCAACATTGTAATAACATCCATTGGCACTTTAAGCCTTTTCGATCAATAAAACTGTTGTGAAATGGTGTCTCTCAACAGACACCTGTTTACAAAGTGATCTCGTCCGTCAATAGTGGATAAAATTAGACAGTTACTTTTACTCCAAAAGACATATTCTTTAGAATAGTCGTGTCCCTTCGTGACACTCCTGTCTCTTCGTGACACCCCTTTACTTGTATAAATATATTTCAGAGATCGATGAAAGAGACCGTTCTCCCAAATCTAACACGTTATCACCACTGTTGCTCTACGAACAAGTCAGAATTACGGAGAGGCATGCATGCCTCACTGGTGACAACAGACGATGAAGTGATGAACTATTGTACGGCCATCGATCTCAAGAACGAAGGAAAATCGCCGGAGACAAGCAGTTCACCGACGTCGATGCCGTTCTTCGTGGCGATGGAAGCTATGATCTTCATCTTCTGTCTATTGCTTTTCGCAACTCATGTTTTTTCTTTCCAGCGGAGAAGATCTTCATCCGGCTTCTTGTCTTCCGAAATTGATGCACCGTGAATCATCTGCATCACATGTTAGACGGAGGAGCAAGACAATATGAAGCATGGGGGGCAGTTTCTTGGATTCCGTTGAGACGAGTTCACCGGTGCAGTTGCTGTTAAGCAAGAATGAGGCATCGGCCTCCACTGCTAGAACCGAAGGCCCGCATCCTCGATTGACTTCGAGGAACATGTAGCGAGTCCGGAAAGAAAACACGGGATCGAGGTAACTACCACGATTCATACCTTCACAATCGTCGATTCCATTCTTCTTGCTCCCATCGGGTTCACTGTCATGGGTTTTTCTTCGACGAGGATGAGGGATGCGCCCTTCAACGTCCCTGCGCGCACGCGGCACTCGCGCGGCCTCGCACGGGCTGGCGCTCCTGTGCAGCCAGCGGCCAGGGCCCGGCTCCCGGCGGCCTCTGCGCTCAAGTGGCCTGGGGCCCTGCACCCGACGAGCCCACGGCAGGCGGTGGCGATATCCGCACGCAGCGGCTCCGGTTGGGACACGTGCGCGGCCCTTGTGCTCGCGCCTCGCATCCGGCGGCCGGCTGCCTCCGCAGCCCCGAGGCCGGACAGCCCGGACCAGTTGCCCCGCGGCTGACGGCTCCTGCGCCCACAACCGAGCACCCCTCGCTGCGGCTTCTCCAGCCCCCACGGCGGCAGCCCCGCGCCTCGCTGCGGCCTCGCGCCGACGGCCAGAGGCCAGCCCGGCCGCTTCTGGTCTCCATGGAGGCGGTCGAGCCCAGCACCGGCGGCCCTGCGCGGCCTCCGCGCCCGCGGCCCGGTGGAAGGCCGCCAGGCGACCGGCACAACGACGCCTGCGCGAGCCGAATACTCGGTGGCGTGGCCGAGAGGCGGAGCGCCCGAGTGGCGTGTTTCCCACAGGAAACTGCCCGTGGATGGATAAGGTTGTGCATTTTGCACAAAACCCTCCTTATTTCCTGTGAATTATATGATAATCCAAATGGATTATTAATGTATTCCAGATTAATGTTTTAACCATTAGGTTTGAACAAAAATGCAGCGTATTACATTTCTTCACGTAAATGCTCATTTTAGACTCTGTTTAAAATGAATCGTGATGCACAATATTTACCTCATGTAAATAAATAAATATTTTTGAGACCCATGTGCCATCAAGAATTGCATTATGACATGTACTGCTGCAGATGAATTTACCACTATAAATTCGTTTTTCAGATCCTATGTTTTCTGACATTTTTAGTACTGTTCAAAGTGTTTGTCTAAATTAGCAAACCCAATAAACATGTGCTATTAACATTGCATGTTCAAAATGTTTGTCCAAATTAGCAAACCTAATAAACATGTAGTATAATTATTACATTGTTCAAAGTGTTTGTCCAAAATGGCAAACCCAATAAACATGTAGTATTACTATCATGACCTTATTATTGTAATTACTTTGTTCTTTGCAATTTTCATTTTATGTTAAGCCCATTTATGCTTTATTTAAAGCTTATAGCGCTTACATTTTTAATGCAAAATTAATTAAATGTATTACCTCATTATTTGTATAACACAAATGTTCCACATTGTATGTTGGCCATACATAAGGTAGCGCCATAGTTGCTACTGTGGGATCTATACACTAAATTCTTAGTGACTATTCTCAATGTGCATACCCAACATCATAAATTGGAACATACGGTCTACATCTTTTCACAAGATGACTATCATTAATCAGCATTCCTATTGGCCATACACAAGGTAGCACCATAGCTGCTACTGCGGGATCTACACTAAATCCACAACTTAGTGACTATCCTCAACGTATCACCCAATTCGTTTTATGGATTAAGCGTAATGTGAACCGACCAATTATATGAAATTAAGTAAGAAAATCATCCACGGAGCGTAGCGATTGAGCAAACTTAAGCCCGTATAACCCGGTAGTCCGTGAAATCACGAAGGATTTCAAACCAACTCGTGTCCCAACCATGATCGTAATAAGTTTAGCGGTCACCAATCACATATTACATAAAAGTTTCCATAATGAGATACATCGAGTTTAAATAAAAGTTATTACAAAACAAGTTCGAATAAAAGTAGCGGAAGTCATTTGTTTAAAACACACACACTCACACGGAGTTCAAATATAGTGCCGGTGATGATCATCTCCAACAAAAGCATTAGATGAGGCGTAAGGAATGACCATGCCCATGGTCCTAAGCATCACCCATCGCAGGATAGAGAGGCGGTTGATACAATAGCCATAGTACATCCGCCCATACGCAACAAGTGGGAATAAAACCACGAGTGCGAGAATGTACTCGGCCGGATTTCCCGACATAACCGAAAATAATTGACACCAAGGATTATGCGGGCATTATAGTAGGGTAGGTGACTCATTTGCAAAAGAAGCATTTTAGCATTTCAAGAACCTTTCTAAAAGCATTATTGTCAAGTTAATTATTATTAACCGTCGACTAGATTTTGCACCTATACTAGAGTAAACATGTGATTAAGCAATTAATGATAACCATTGATCATTACACAACTTCCATCTTGTCATATTCACTATAAGCTGTCCAAGTGTTCCATAAACATTTACTACGATGAAGTCACTCAAGTCAAGTGCTCACTATCCGGGAGGCGATGGCGATTGAATCGATTCCTAACCGGTGGTGATTTATTCTTACACAAATCTCACTCACCCGCTAAAGTGAGATATTGATCACCGAGTCAACTTTCGGTATCTCGAGTTTGCAGAACCACATGTACCCGGGGGCCGACCGATCGCACTTTGGTCTTATCATCCCGCCCCGTGTCCTACCACACACTTTGCTTGCGGTCTTGGCGTCATGGGCAATCTCTACTCGCCCGAAAAATCTCCCAACTTCAGCGGTCGGAAGGTACTTTATCCGGCCGACTAAATGTAAGGCATCGTTCAACATGACTCGAGGCCCAACAACAGTCGGTCCTTAATCGACCTGCAGACGGAAACACTACGGTCCAAAACCCCGCAAGTCTCGCCGGTCTCAACTTCATTTAACACTTAGTTATACCATGACTTCATAGCCATCCAAACAGATCCGGTAACCACCTATAGCTCGCGGTGACAGAAATCACCGACTTCTACCGGTCTAAGCCGCCTAAGCATTGACTCGATCATTGCGGATACCGAGGTAACAAGGATATAGTATAACAAAGGTAAACAAGGTATAATGCAAAGTAACGGTTGCAAACAATTCCTGAACGTAATGCATCAATTTAAAGTAAAGCATTTAACGAAATCATTGCAAACCGGAGAAAGATGCTCGGGGCTTGCCTCTCTCGAAGGAGCTCTCGGACGGTGATCGGGGCACTCCGGAAGTTCTTCAACGTCCTCCTCGTAAACCACGGCACTTCTGCAATTTGCACCTCGAACTGCTCCTCGGGCTCCTCGGGAATGACGGCTGGGTTCTCGGTTTGCGATCCTGTATGATGCAATGCGTGTAAGTGCCTATGCAATCGGTGCATCGAAGGAGATGAATGCAATGAATATGTTGAAAGGCAAGGTAGACAACATCATCCAAGAAACTATGCTACAAGCACATGTCATCTACTGCATTCTCTTCTACTACTAATATGTCAAGTTAACCTATCTTGTGAAATGCTTCAAAGATACACCAAAGCTTTACTAATTTCTTAATCACACTTAAGGCAACACTTGCTTAAACCTTAATTAATAATAGGTTTGAATAGCAACCTATATTTCTGATGCTCCTAAAAATCTGAGAAAATTATAGTAGCATACTACTACCCTAAACAGACTACCATAAAAATTTCATGGCATTTGGATAAGTAAACTATCCTACACAAAAATGACAAGCTATAGCCTAAAAATGAGCATGAAATTACTTTGTACTATGAAAAGTGTCAAACAACAGAATTAATATTTTTCCTAGGTTCTTCATGGTATATAATGACTGTACAAAAATTATCACATGCATGTTTTATACAAAGTTTGCTCTCTAGCAAAAATAACAAAAATCAGCCATTTAAGGTACTTGAACTACACCTCTAAAGTTTTCCACAGCACATGCATGAAATATATTTTTCCTAGGAAGTACATGACATAAGAAGATTAACAAACTTGGAATCATATTTTTCTGAAGCCTAGAAATTTTTCTACATATTTTTCAAGTTATCAGCAATATTCAAGATTAAATAAAATCCTATAGAAAAGTATATCAAAAATGACATGCACTATTTTTCCCAAGTAGATCTGGTGATAAGGAACCTAGCAAAATTTGTTTCAACAAATTTGGAGCAACTTTGAGTATCCAAATATTTTGCAAACCATTTCTGTTTTCAAATAAGAATGAATAAATGGAAATCAATTCTTCAAAACTCTACTGGGCCGGCCTGCGGATGCACTGGCCCACGGCCACAGCCGGCCTGCTCAGACCGAGTGAAAGGGGGCAAGCGGCGGCCTGGCTCGGGGCTCGGCCCAAGCCAGCCTGGCCCAGCTCGGCCGGGCAAGGCCACGCCCATCTTGGGAGCCCTGAGCCTCACGGTCAATGACGAGAGGAGGAGGCTCCGCTTGGCCGGTGCTCATCGGCGGCGAGCTCCTCCAAGATGCAGGGCGGTATCGGTGGGCTCCCCACGCGAGCCGCACCTCTGGGAAGGTTAGAGGTGGCCCGGCGTCGTGGCGTTCCATGCGACCACAGCGGCCGCTCGCCCGCGGCGAGAAAAGGGGACGCCGAGCTCGGCCCTTACCTTGACGATGGCAGCCACGAGTGGCGCATAAGCAAGCGAAGGAGCTAAGCGAAGGTGAACTCGGGCGAGATGAATCGAAGAATGAAGCACTGGCGGTGGAGCACGTCGTCGTCTAGGGCGGCGGCATGATGGCGGCAGCGTCAGGCTTCTTCTTCTTCTTGAGCAAGAGGCGGGGAGACAAAGCGGCAAAGCGAGAGTGCGGAGAGGAGGAGCTGCACAAGGGGAAGAAAAGCAGCGTGGAGGTGAAGCCGAGGCCGTGGTGCTGGCCTGGTGGCGTTGTCAAGTGGTGGCCGCTGCCATGAAGCGCTGTTCTGCCCATGGTCGGGACCTTGTGTGTGTGTGTGCGGCAAGCGGAGGCGGAGGCGGAGGCAGGCGCGGCAGTCTTTGCAGTTTGGGCACGAAGCGGCGAGAAGGTGTGGAGGAGGCTGCTGGGCCGGCTTGGCCAAGGGCTGAAGCGAGGCTAATGCCCGCTAATGAAAACATCTTTTTCATTTATATTTTCAAGAACTTTTTAAAAGCCAGCTTTCAAATCTTATTTTGAGTAAGAAGATGACCTCTTTTGAAAATGTACCAAAAATGAAAGTTGCTTAGAATTTAATTCTCTACAACTTTGCTTTTAGGACCACAGCCAAATTCTTTCTAGATTTTGAATTGGAAGATCAAAGTCCACGTTTAGCTCAAAACCCTAATTTTTGGAATTTATTTTTGAAGCCGAATTTTGAATTAATTTGAATACAAACATTGCTCCAAAAATTGAACTAAACATTGCTAGATGATTTACAATAGCAGCCAAACATGTTCTACTAACCTAGCAAGCAAGAATCAGAGCAAAACAACTCTAATAAGTGTATGCATCATTTACGTTTCACAAACATGTTTCGTATGTTTCGAAGTAATGTTTCAGATATTATATGCAAGATTATTCATGTATGATTAGGATGCTTGATGATGCATGATATGCATGATTTGCAGTGCCTAAATGTAGGCATAACACCGGGGTGTTACAGCCCTCCCCCCTTATAAAAATCTCGTCCCGAGATTTGGGTTACGAACCATTTGTTATAAAAATCTCCATAAGCTTTTTGTAGATACTCTCCTGTTTCCCAAGTTGCATCTCCCTCATCATGATGATCCCTTTGTATCTTGTATGTTTTCACCACACTATTCGAGTAGCACGTTCCTTAGTGTCTAACACACGATTTGGTTGTTCACGATACATCAAATCGATTTGAGTTGAATACCTCGAGGCTCTATTCTTTCCTCCGGAACACATAAACATTTCTTGAGATGTGATACATGGAAAAGCTCGGGAAAAGCTGTACTCATTGTCTCAGGTAACTCTAACTTGTAGGCTACTGGGACCTCTTTGTTCCAAGATTTTGTATGGTCCTCGAATCTCATGACAAGCTTTCTTCGGACTCCAAACCTTTTCTTCTTCATTGGCGTGACTTTCGGATAAACATAGTCACCAACTTCAAAACTAAGGGGTCTCCTTCT